TGAGATTAAATATTGTTACTGATGGGACAATTAATAGAAAGGAGGAATGTTAGATATCTACTTTCATTTAATTAAAGAAGTGATTTTACTTATTATTTATCATGTTATAACTAAGAAACTTAAGTACTTTCATCATGTTTATAAAATTTAATTCTCATAACATAGAGGGAATTTGAAATTCTAGTAAACATTTACGCTATCATCTATAATTATTAAGCTTGACCTAGTGGTTAATTTACAAATTCATAATCTAAAACTTAGTTTTAGATAAGTTTTAATTTAAATTGATGAAACTCGAGTGACTTAATGGATTGATATACAAACTAGTTAATTCAACCAAATCAAAATTAAAAATTTACTAAAAAAACTAAACAATATTAATTTAGATAAAAAAAAATAAATCTAAATTAATCCAATTATCCAACAATCATCAAAGTTTTTTTTAAATGATCAAACCTTTAATTCGGTTTTGATAGCTATATCATCTTTTTATTTTCAAAAACCTAGAGATTTTGTGATAGTTCTTCTTGCTTGTCATCTTTCCTGGATCGCACTAGACTTCAAGGCACATTATCTTTCAGAAAGGTTAAACATAAGATTGACATGAAGTTATCTTTCTTTTTTCACAAAACCAAGTTTGGTTCCTTGTCATTGGTGCACTCATTGCTTAACATTAAACTAAATGGATTGCAACATTTCTTACTAAGAACTTGGACTCCATTTTTACAAGGAGGGTTGCTCATAAAAAAAAATCATATCTTAGCTGCCATGTTGCTTTCAAGCTAATAGTTGCATAAAAATGATTTAAATGTTCATTATTTCACCTAAATGCCTCTGAAATTGTTAATTTTTCATTTCCTCAAGATTTGACTGCTAAAAACCCAACGGAAAAAGGCCCAAAACCATTTAATATAGTAACTATATCCTATCCATGGTCTTCAATAATGCATGTAAAGAGGCATACAACAACAACTTAAGAACATGTTGTGATTTTCCACTATGGCCTGTTATTCAACCCCGTTGCAGGATATAGTAACAGATAATAGTGGAATTATGTGCCTTTAAGCATATATTTCTTGCACTTAGTTTCTCAAAATGTTACTTAATTTCAAGGTTTTAATTATTTGAACTTTTGAACCAATCTTTATATCCAAAAATGTGCAGTTTCAGCTATATATATTCAATTATAGTCTCATTTCATTGTGGTGCTGTTACCTCTCACCATCAGAAAAACTATTGTAAGTAAGCAAACTTTGTTGTTAAGAGGATTAATATCAATATTTGATTGTTTGTTTTTGTTAAAGTTGGCGATTAGTGTTAATTAATTTTACCAAAAAAAAAATCCAAATAGTTTTTGATTGTCCATATAATGGGATGTCAATTAATATTATAGGCAGGTTATTACGCCTGCAATATTTTTCCACACTAAACTATCTTACCTTATGTGATATACGAGGGTTTTTAAGGAATTTTTTTATTGTTATTATTATTTTCTATTTAGTTTAGGAAAATATTTTTTTATGCTAATTTTATTTTTTTTTCTATTTCGTTTTGAAAATCAAATATTAAGATTAATAATTTTATTTTTTTCCATGTTTATTTGGGACTTTTATTACTTTTCCTTTATTTTTAGATTTACTAATTTTTTTATGTTGGTTTTTGGAATTATTTAAGTATTTATAAACTTTCTAAAGAGACAAATTATAATAGAGTTTTCTCTTGAATAATAAAACTACTAATTAGGGTTTTTGTGTTCTACCCCATTTCAATCATTAAATTGTTTTCTCTTGTTATCGTCATATTGTTTGTGCTTCCGCCTGTGTCTGTTGGTATTAAGCCTAACAATCTTATGTTTTTATTTATCATGTGTTACAATTCTAGGTTATTTTTGCTTTGCTATGTATTGGATAAAAATCATAGTAGGAGTAAGTAATAAGGTGTGTTTAGTAAGAAAGGATGAGAAAGTTTCTTTTTGGGAGAGAAATATTTAGGAGCTCATGATAAAGGACATACAGAGGTAAATTGTGAAGCTTACCATATAATTGGCTTTAAAGCCATAATATGAGGAATAAAAGAGTGATCAAGGGTCTCTATCCAATACAAAAAACCCATTGTAGAGGAAAATATAGAGTCATTGCTCAATTCCCGGCTTGAAATCTATAAAGGACTTTAAATAAGAGAAAATAAAGGCTCACATCATATATCTTACTGCTTCAAGACAACTGCATATTACATTATAGCAAAGTGACTAAATGAAGGTGAAACCTCCTTGTATAAGGTTGAATGTTCTTGCGTACCCAGCATCCTATAATAAAAAAAGGATTCGTCATTATAAAAGCGTTAATGCTTTAGTTTAGTTTTCAATAAGAGCATTTAGGCCTTTAACATAGAAAGGGTTTTTTCAGCTTACTCTGCTACAACGAACTGTTAATAGGGTCGGTGCTATGGTTTGTGAGCTTAAAAACTATTAAGTGTCATTACATATGGTCTCAAAGACAAGGGTTATGCCAAACAATGGCTAGTAGGAAGAACTTGTAAGCTAACGTTGTAAACTCTTGATTAAAAAAAAGGGTTAAATTAAAATTTAGAAAAATTTAAATTTCATATCAAAAGTGAAATTGGAAAAGGTATAAAAGGGAAAATTCATATTATACTTAAAAGGAGAAATTCATATGAACCTATTTAGGGGAAACTTGTTTAGAATAAGGGGGCTTGGATTTTTTTATTTTATTATTATGCAGATATGAGAAATTATTATCAATTGTTTATATTCTTGCTTCTTTTTCCTTTTTAAATTGAGAGCATTTTCATATAAATCTATTATATTGACTAGCTAGAAATACTAATTTGATCACAATAGTTTTGACTCATATTAAAGTAAAAATAAGAATAAGAATTTTTATTTTGGTATTTATGATGATTTACAAAGTCTTATATGATTTTTACTAAAAATAAGAGTATTACGGAAAAGTTCTTCAATAAGTGGCACCTATTGTTAAGTTATGCTTATGAGTAAATAATGTTCTTGATAAGGAAGGATATAATAAAGATTTTGATTTTCAAATTAAACTTTTTAATTTTGTAGGAACTTTACAAGTAAATGAGATCATTAATTGGTTAAAAAAAGTTAAATAATTTTTTAAGTATAAAAAGGTTATAGAACATATAAGCATAAAACTAGTTAAGATCCAATTAAAGGGTTGGGCTTTTGCCTGGTAGAAACAATTAAAGAGGTCCATATGAGAGGTACGAGAAATAAAAAATTAATGATTATGACAAGATAAAGAAGAAGATGAAAGATAATTTCCTTCTTTTTAGCTATATACAGACACTATACTAATGACTCCATATATTGAGACAATGAGGTAAATCTATCAATGATTATATTAATGAGTTTTATCAATTAGTAGCAAGAAATGACTTGACAGAAATAGAAGAGTTAATGGTGAAAAGATATCTGAGTAATTTATATTGTTCATCTAAGACATGTTGTGCATGCAGTTTTAGTAGACGGTTTCATAGGTATATTAAAGGGCTTTGACTGTAAAGAAATAATAGGTAGCTAGGGTAATTAGTAGGAGTTTCTGGACAAATCAGTACAATAGAGAAAAACTCAACAATAATTAAAGGCCAACCATCCCTAAGTAGTATCTCCTCAACAACTTAGTAGACAACAAGTCAGAGTACGTGTTAGGTCTCTAATTCAACTTTTTTGAATTTATTGTTATAGGTGTGGTGAATTAAGGCATTGTGTTAAAAAGTATAGTAAACTAGAAACTTTTACAAATAATTATCTATGGATAAATGAGCATGTGGATGATGTGGTTGATACAATTTTTGATGACTTAAGATAGTAGTTAAGAGATTTTGGATGGAGATGGTGGCATTACCTTAATCATGCATAAGAGTTTGTTTACGCCTAAAGGTGATTTGGAAGAAGATTGTCGGTTTACTAGCATCTTTCATTCGACATACACTATAAAAGATAAAGTTTGCAACTTAATAAAAAACATTGGTAGCTACAAGAATACAATGTCCATAGAGGTAGTAAAGAATCTCCAACAAAAAATCGAGAGCTACCTTTAACCCTATGAGCCAGCCTTGTTAAATAAAGACACTAAGGTAATTGTGGATAGATATTGTCTCATTTTATTTCCTATAAATAAGAGACATTTTGATAGTGTTTGGTATGATATAATATCTATTTTGATAGTATTTCATATTTATAAAATGATAACACACACACCTCAATATAAAAGGAAAGCATATATTATTGGTGTACAAGAGAGAGATGGTGGTTATTGAAAGCAAAAATAAAAAGATGTTGTTTTTATCCATAATTATAAAAAAGGAAAAGAAGGAGAAAGAAAAGAAGGTGGAGATTCTAGATAATATGAATACCAATATAATATGTAACAAGTCATTTATGATTAGTGATGGTTCTATGAAGATTAAAGGTGTTTGAAGAATTGATTCTTGGAATATCTTATCAAAATTTGGTATGGAATAAGTTAAAAAAGCACAATAGAACTAACACTATTTTTAAATGGTCAATAATAACGATATAGTGATGACCAAAATTTAAGGACTAATTCTCTCCAACCTAGAAAAACTCATATAAAAGGATTTTTATGAAAAAAAATATTTTTCTAAGTTAGTATTATTTCCTATTTAGTTTAGGAAAATATTTCTTTTTGTGTGGTGATTTTTTTCTTCTATTTAGTTTAGAAAATAAAATATTAACTAAATAATAAAATATTGAGATTGATAATTTTATATTTTATAATTTATTTTATTATTATTTTTCCTAATTTATTTTATTATGACTTTTATTACTTTTCCTTTATTACTTTTTCTCTTGCTGTTATCTTATTGTTTCTGTTTCTGCTTCCATCATTATGACAGTATAAAAGTGCTTGCTGCTTGTTGGAATCCTTGAACATAACTACAAATTTCAAACAATATTGAAACGGAGGAGATTTTCTACTAGATATATTGCCATGAAGTCTCGAATGGTTGCGCTTCAATGGCTTCCAATACTAATGCTCATTCCAGTTATGCACTCTACTTCTGTGACTGCAAAAGGGTTGCGCGTTCCACGGTTGGCTCGACTTGGAGGAATGAACAATCCAAGGGTGAGACCACTGGGAAGAATTTCAAGGAATTCTGCAAGTTTTGCTGCATCAAGTATTTATCACAACTTGCAGACATTTTATTACAATCAAACACTTGATCACTTCAATTACAGGCCTGACAGCTTTGACATGTTTCAACAAAGATATGTCATCAACTCAAAGTATTGGGGTGGTGCTATTTCCAATGCACCGATCTTTGTTTACTTTGGGGAAGAAGCACCGTTAGAATATGACTTCGGTGATATTGGGATCCTCGCAGAAAATGCCCATCGTTTTAAGGCTCTTCAAGTTTACATCGAGGTAATTAACTGTGTGTGAGAATGTTGCTCGTCTGTATAAAATGCTTTCCTTCTTTGTTTTCATGGTCAGGTGGTGGTATTCTCAGGTCGTCTCTCGTGACTCGAGATCATGACCGCCTTTTCGATTTCATCCAAAGAAATATCCATGCTGAGATAAGGAATACCTTGGAAATTCAAAGACAAGGATTCTGGTTCTTCCATTTAGAATAATTCCTCTTACAGAATTCTAGACAATAATCCTGAACAGCTTTCTTTACATCTCATTGGTTTTATTCTTGTCAGCACCGATACTATGGGAAATCAATCCCATTTGGATCAAGGAATGAAGCTTTCAAAAATGCTAGTACACTTGGATATTTCAACTCAGCTCAAGCTTTAGCAGACTACGCAGAGATTATCATCCACGTAAAGGAGAAATTCCATGCTCAACGCTCTCCTGTGATTGTCGTTGGAGCATCATATGGTGGAAGTAGGCTATTTGATTACAAATTTGTTTTCGACCCTTTGTTGATTTGCTTTAAATTTCTTCTTTTGATTCCAACCTGTTCTTGTAGTGCTTGCTTCGTGGTTCCGGCTGAAATATCCACATATTGCTCTCGGAGCTCTGGCCTCTTCAGCTCCAATCCTATACTTCACTGATATAACACCAGCGCATGCTTATGTTTCTATTGTCACCAAAGATTTCAGAGTAAAGAACAAATTCTGATGTTTTGTTGATTTTGTTTTGGTTCAAAGCTCAATGTTGTAGTCAATACAGGTTTGATTTATGCTTGCAGGAAGACAGTCAGAGTTGCCATGATACTATAAAAAAGTCATGGACAGTGATTGACAAAATTGCTTCCAAACCTGATGGTCTTTCAATCCTGAGCAAGAAATTCAAGACTTGCAAGTAATGCTTTGGCTTTTGCTATCAGGTTTTGATTCTTAGACTTGAAAATTGATGGTCCTGCCTAATTTTTACTCCTCGTTCAGGCCCTTGAACAATTCTTCTGAGCTCAAAGACTACTTGGCCGGCATATATATGGCTGCTGCTCAATATGATGCGCCTCCATCCTATCCAGTAACCGTGATCTGTAGAAGCATTGATGAACCTTCCTTTGGAAATGACATTCTAGGTAGAATATTTGCCGGCATGGTTGCTTATCGAGGAGAACTCCCATGTTATGTTAACAAACCCACCAAAGAAACCGAAACCGATGTGGGTTGGAGCTGGCAGGTAATAAATGTTACAGAATAATTAAATTATATATTGAAAACTCATTTAATAATTTAAATTTTTTAATTAAAATGAATTTTTAATATAATATCAAAGTTTTGATGAACAAACAGTAATGAATTTAAATCTCATTATTTTCATTTTATTTAATAAAAATTAAGCATAAAATCAAGCAATTATGAATTTGAATCTTCCAAACTTTTATTCTACTTAATAAAAATTAAACACAAGATAATATAAACTTGTAGGAATTTCAAACTAAAAAAAAAAATTCACGTAATAATTTAAACTTTTTGACCTCACATAATAGTTTACATTTTTTGATGGAGATGGTTATTTGACAATTAATTAAATCATTGTAAAACTATGTTTTCTTATCTTTATTTAGAGCTAAAAAAGATGATGTCAATCCTATATTTTTACAAAGATGAACTAACTTTGCATTCTTGTGGTTAGACGTGTGCTGACATGGTGATACCTTTCGGCATCAGCAATGATTCCATGTTTCAACCATATCCATTTGATCTAAATGTTTATATCAACGACTGCAAGGACGAATACGGAGTCCCTCCTAGACCACATTGGGTTACTACTTATTTTGGAGGCCATGCATGCCGTGCTGCCACTCTCCTTCCCCCTTTCCTTTCCCGGGATCATTTAGTATTGCATAAACCTAGTCTGTTGATTTCAATGGAAACCTGCAGGATATAAAGCTGATTCTCAAACGGTTCGGTAGTAACATCATTTTTTCCAATGGACTAAGAGATCCTTACAGCAGCGGCGGGTAACTAATAACAACACATCTGATATCTCCTGCTAATAATCAGAAGCTTATGTTCAATACATTGTTTAACACGGTGCTGTTTCACATCACAGGGTGTTGCAGAACATATCAGAAAGTGTTGTTGCTATCACAACTGTGAAGGGTATGTTTTGATGATGAACTTGATTATTGTCGTAATGAGGAGAAGACTTACATAACATATACTCACCACGACAGGTTCTCATTGCTTGGATGTGCTTGCAACAACAAAAAGCGATCCGCAATGGTTGGTAGCACAAAGAAAGGAGGAAGTCCGGATCATTCGAAAATGGATTAGAAATTACTTCTCGGATTTGGATGCTTGCGAAAAAGGAAAACATCACTAGCTCAGTAGTTTTCAGAATGTGTGGTGCTTGGTACTAGCAAATCAGGGTAAACCAAAGATCTCAAGGCCATAATATAAATAAGAACTACCTCCGTTGATCAACTCTCCAGTTTCTTCTGCATATCAGTTTTTCCCACAGCATGTAAAACTTAAATAACTCAACTAAGCAGGAAGAGTTCTGTCATAGCAATATACATGAAAGGGACCGCTTAAGACTGGTCCAGCAAACCCGAACTGACCACTCAGAGGAATTCTCAATGCAGCCATGATTTTCTGCACTGTCCATGAGGAAGATAATAATCTGAGTAGAAGTCTGCATCTTCCTAGAGATCAAATTATTCACTTTCAAAACATCTGCCTGTATCCACAGTAAAATAAACAAGCAAGCAGAAAAACTGATGAATTCAGACAGTGAGTTCCTGCCATTTGGTAATGATTTCTTGCTTAGTTTGTCATCATGTTTAAATATATGCTGGCTGCCGCACCGTCCACCATAGAACTGATGAATTCAGACAAAATGTTAACAGTAGGATTAATTTCTGAAGCTCATTATGCTAAAAGAAGATAGCGAGTGCTTTTTAAGTTTGAGCAAGAGATTAGGAATGGATTAAGCTATTATTTTGTTAATCTTGATCAAAGTTATCATAAACCAGAAATGAATGCAACAAGAACTGGGCTGATCTGAAAGTTATACATTACAAAATAAAGTGGCATGTGCTTCAGCAAGAACACTGTTCACAGATTGACCTTAACAGTGACTAAAAGAACAAGATTAAATATTATCAACGTTGTCTGTCTAGGCACAAGACAATAGCAAATTGCTCCTTCCTGCCCAAATGCTAAATATTTTTACGGTTGTGTTTAAAAATATCTATAAATTAATTATAGTTTTTTTTTTGTAACTAAAATTTCAAAAAAGAGTTTTTGATGAGATTCTTGCAAGATTAAGTATGTATTAATTAACTAAACACTTCTATAATTATGATAGGAGCAGAACGCAATGTCACCTGCACCTCGTTATACTACCAAGCGAACCCTGAACGTGATCCATTGCTAACCTAATCCATGAGTGGTGAATTTAATCTCGATTAACGCAAAGACTGATAAGATGATGTCTCACTAACTGCAAATTCAAATAAAAATATAACATGCAAAAAATATGAATTCGGGTTCAAAGAGAGAGCATGCCATCCTTTTATTTTCAAAGGTTTTCTGTTGTTCCTCTCAGTTCTCACTGCCACTTCCTGCAAACACTAAAATGCAGGATTAGGGTTATATGCTATCATTCTTCTTTTCCTTTTTGGCTACAGAGTGCAAATTGCGGTGTGCATGAAAAAGCAGCATTTTTTGTGTTTGTTTTTTTTCATGTGAAACACAGTTTGAGCCACAGGAGCAAACCAAACAGTCTATCACATTGACGCAGTTTTATCTCATCAAAAACCAAGATCTTGGACCATCTCCACAGAAAACGGGCATCCCCAGCTATGCTACGACAAATTTAGTAATGTAGAGGGGAGGATGACGATGTTACATGGGTGGTGGGAGGGCGTTTGCGGTGACTACTAGCTGCCCAGTTGTTCTCATTCTAGTATTAGTTACACAAACACTCTAACGTGTCGGACTCATTTATCCATAAACAGTTCTCGTATTGTTAGGAGCTTTGGTGGTCGTGTGAGTGTCGATTTTTCCATTTCTTCAAAGATTTTACAGCCAAGCACCCTGTAGCAACAGCCAAAAACATTAAAGCATATTGGAGGCACACTGGGCGCATATGATAAACTTGAGCCCAGAAAAACACCAAGTCCAGTCCAATAGCCTCACTGAACCCATCTTGGCCACGGATTTATATCCTCATCGACCGGCTTGCCTCCCCTTAATTATTAATACCAGCCAATTAGTTTGACTTGGTGACTCGGTGATGTAAATTATTTTAAAAAACAACATTTTACCATTGATATAAGTTAAGTTTTGCTTTCAATTATTTTGAATATTTATCTCGTTGAACTTGAGTAAACTAATAAGTTGGTTTCTCACTTGATTAAATCTATCAAACTTTGATATTTTTTGAAATAAAACAAGATTCTTTTGAAAAAAATAATAGAACTCAGGCGAGTTAAAACTCAAGCTCTATTCGGTGGCTTCGTGGATGAATGCCTGCCAATGTTATCGAGAGGAATAAAACTGATGTAGATCATATTAATTAATTAACGGTTGAATTTGTCTAAAGTAGTGCTATATTATTTGATTTGAGATTCCACTCATAAGTACTTGGATTAAGGAATGATGATCTTACCAAAAAAATATCTTCCAATAATTACCTTTTAAAGATCTTCTTCGTGGGGTTTTATTCACCAGTAGTTCCCACGAGACCAATAACTGATATTTTCTCCTAGCAATATTCTAATTTCCAGAACAAGAAGAATCTCCTCTTGAAATAGCTATATCTTCATAAAGGAGCATTTGATTACATATCTTCTCAGTTCTTCACCGATTTATTTTATGTTTCTGTCTCGAACAGTAACCAAACGCAACGTAATTCCTCGTAGTATAGTCAACTACTTCTCCTGTAAATCAAAGAAGGAAGAAAAAGGGGGGAAACAGACAAGACTCGAGGAGACGAAAGTCTTGACCTTGCCGAGATGGGCGTTCGAATTCTTGATTTATCCGAAGGTATGCAGGTGTGGGTGGCACTGTATCGCCCTACAGGGAGGAGAGGAGGGGGGGCAAGGATTGACTAAGGCGAGTAAATCGTACAATCATGTCGAGCTTTAAGAGCATAAAACCTGGAGAGAATCTACAAGTCATGACCCTCGGAGAAAAGCCATCGCTCGAGATGTGAAGTTATTCGAAGAGCATGAAGGGAGGTTGGGCATAAAGGGAGCCGCATGGTCCCCCACTTTGCCCTTTTTGCCGAGGTAAAGCCCGTCCACACCATGGCCATTATCGCTCTGGGTCCTCCATCATTCCCATCATCATTTATTTTATGATGGTTTATGCCCACGCCTCAAATAATTCCTTCCTTGGAGTCACACATGGGGATCATTTAGCCTCGGACTTGCTTTTTGTCAAGGAATATAGAGTTACCCTTCTAAGATATGGTTGTTAGAAGCTGTCCACAGCTAGCTAATTCACTCATTTAATCAAGTTAATCAACAGAAAAAAAAAAAAAAAAAAAAACAGAGAGAGAGAGAGAGATTGAAGCATGATTGTCAATAGTCTACACAGTGTAATTTCTCGATTTGATATTGAAGTTCAAATAACATCTTGATTAATTAATATTTTTCTATGGTCCTCGAGATATTAATTTATAGAGATTTAATTGTATTATAATAACTTCGCTAAAATATCATGAAATCATATAAACCATTCGCTAAAATATCTAAATCTTTTTTTCAAATACCTTTTTTCTCTTTTTTTTTGTTAAAATGGACTGTTTTAAAATAGCAAGGATATTTTGAATAAATATTAACCACGTATATCATATTATAAATTACTAAATTTATATGTGTGTGTGTGAAAATGCGACAAGTAGTATAAATATGTCGAAAATTTTAATAAGAGAGTTGTACATTAAGAAATAAAATTTAATCTCATAAAAATATATGAATATTTATTTCTTCTTTTTTTTCAAAAGTTCTAAATTATTTAAAAATATTTTATAGAACATGACTGTATACTCTGTTTATCCGAGCTCTTGGTCATCTTGTTTAATTTTTTTTTTAATGGCACGATAAATTAAAAATATCCATGGAATAATATAATTTGAAAAGGAATTAGATTCAAATCACGACATGTTGTGAAATCAATTTTTCCTTGCCAGTGTTTTTTAACAATTATCACGATTCTAGAACATGATAATTACTCACTGTTGTGTGTTTCACAGCCAAAAACCGCTACAAGTTCACTAAAACTTCTATGCAATCCTGACAATCTTGTTAATATTTTAAATTGTAATCGCTAATAGTAAAAGATCTCCTCTGCTTTTTGGATCGAAAAGCATGTTTTTCAACTCAAAAACACAGGAACAGTAACTTAGACAAACGGGTTCTAACCATGGATTCGACCCTCTTCAGATCAAAGAGGGGGTGGGGGGGGTGAAAATCCCAAGTTTTGACATGGAAATAAACGAGCAACAACCACCATTGTGGAAGACCTCCTCCTAAAACCTGCATCTGTGTCCTTGTCTCTGGGCTGGGGACTACCAGGCTGCTAGCTGGGCAGATGATTCAGAAATAGTAAATGTGATGATGATTAACGTAACTATCATTTGGAAAGGAAACTTGTGGAGTAAAGGAAATGAAACAGAAGTCCTCGCCTGAAGCTCTTTCCTCCTCGCAATATTAATATATATACTTTGGTAAAAGGTACAGAGGGTTGTTGAAGCACACAATTATGAGGCAGCTGTAAAGGATTAGGACCTCCTTGGTGGTGGTCTGAAAGGGGCATTGGTCCAAATTCACCATTCAAGCAATTAATTTTAGAGGCCTGGATACAGTTTTATTCAACTCAATAGGGTCCCTGCTGTTCTTACTCCTTCCCCCCTCACATGTATCTTGGACCAAGTGAGGCTACATCAACTCAATTTTACTTGTTAAATTAATAATAAATAAATCTAGATTTCTCTATCTGTAAATTGACTTGAAAAATTCTCGATTTGAATCCCAATTCTACACGGGTTATAAATTGAAACGAAAAGATATTAATCTGATTAAATTTGATTAATCTAGATTGAATTTTTATCATTTTGATTGCCTCGAACAAACTCAATTCTAATATAACTAGATTAATATTAAGAAATTCTTTTTTTAACAAAAAAAAGACCAAATCAACATGGTTTTAATAAAAAATAATTACCAAGAGTGAAAACTAACCGAAAAAACCAGTGATCCAAGACTTTTTTTTCATGGCCATCATCGTCAAAATTACATGAGAGGGTATTCGATTGTTTGCGTGGAGGAGGAGGACGATTCTTACATGAATCCTTGTCTCCGAGGAGAAACA